TGTTCTTTTTATATTACACTGTGATGCACACTTTAAAGCTTGATTTTTATTCAATTATTAAGAAATAATAATAAATGTTGTTCCACTAAAAATAATAATAGTTTTTCCAATGTTTAAGTTTCGGAAGTCAATGCTTATGATTAATCAAAAAATTATTTATATTATGTTCTAGTTAGGTTTCAATTTAGGGGGAAATGGATAAGTGTTTCAACATTCAAGGAAGAAGAAGGTGATGAATAGACAATCCACCTCAACTGACACGTCATCTCCACTAATGCAGTTTGGCAATATTTGACAAAAATGACTACTTTGATTCTCTTAGACAACGTAAGAGACCAACTTGGACCTTTTAAAAGAAAGAGGATCAAAATGGACCCAGAGGCACAAGTAAGAGACTAAAAAGGATATTAAGCCTAATTTTTTTTTAAAAAATGTATTTGTTGTGAAAAAGAATACTTTGAAATAAAGTATAGTCGGCTTCTTTATGATCAAGAAACACACAAGGGTTAGGGTTAATGGAAAAAAAAGAAGAAGAACAAGGATTGGTTATAACTGTTATTCTTTACTTTCTATTTGAATCAGATTACAAGTACTCAAGAATAACAAATAACCCTCTCACCCTAATTAGGATTTCCCACACATAAGATGAGAGACTAGTATATTATTTATAATAAAACCTAATATACTAAACTAATGGACTTTTTAGAAATTACCCATTACAATCTAACTTAGGGTACAAGCTAACTTAAACAATTGGATCCTTAACACAAGGCCCAATTCGATAACTACATACTAGAACATATTTCGACTACAGCTTGTAGGTCTTCGATAATAGTATGTGAGCAGACTTTGATGGTATGTTAAACCTCTGTCGACAATACTAAAGTTTGATCCAATATCTCACAAATCTCCACCTTGGAACAAACTCTATAACATCAAGAAACAAACTACCATTCTTCATGCAGCATTATCAACTGCATACAGTGGAAAAACTTGCAACTGGGTAACGTTTTGGTGATCATATCAGCAGCATTATTATCTGTTGAAATCTTCATCACTTGGACTTCTCCATGCTCGATTACCTCTTTGACAAAATGTGGCATCACATCAATGTGCTTGTTTCGCTCATGATAGGCTGAATTTTTTGACAGGTGTATTGCACTTTGACTATCACATTTAACAGTGATAACTCGACCTTGAAGTTTCAGCTCATTTGCAAAACTTTCAAGCCACAATGCTTCCTTCACGGCTTCAGTTAGGGCGATATACTCCACTTCAATGGTCGATACGGCAACAACCTTCTGAAGTGTTGCTTTCCAACTTATTTTTATTCCAAACATAGTGAACACATATTCAGAAATATATTTTCTGGAATCCATACAACCTGCATAATCAGAGTCGACGTATCCTTCAATTGCTGCTTTACTATCTTCACCCAAGGCTCCATCATAAATTAAGACTCTGTTCAGAGACCCATTTATGTACCTTAGAATCCACTTTAATGCTTGTCAGTGAGCCTTTCCAAGACTTGTCATGTACCTGCTTACAAGACATATTGCATATGTTATGTCAGGTCTAGTACATACCATAACATACATCAAAGAACCCACTATATTAGCATATGGAATGCTATTCATATACGCTCTTTCGACATCAGTACTAAGACATTGATCTATACTCATATTGAATTGAGGGTTTATCGGAGTCACAACATGCTTTGAATTTGACATACCAAACTTTTCGAGAATCTTCCGTAGGTATGCCTCTTGAGATAAGCATAATTTCGACTTCTTTCTATCTCTTCGAATGTCAATCCCAAGAATCTTGGACACAGCTCCTAGATCCTTCATTTCAAACTCCTTATTAAGTTCAGCCTTCACCCTCATTACATCTTCGGCAGTGTTGCTTGCTATTAGAATATCATCCACATAAAGCAACAAAATAATAAATGAATTACCAGGTCGAAATCTGAAGGAAACATAGTGGTCGAACTAACTTCTAATGAAACTTATGTGTGCCATGAACTTGTCGAATCTCCTATTCCATTGTCGGGGAGATTGTTTCAGTCCATATAAATATCTCTTCAGCTTGCACACATAATCTTCCTTCCCCTTTCTGACATACCCTTCAGGTTGTCTCATCAGGATTATTTCATCTAGATCACTATACAAGAATGCAGTCTTCACATCCATCTGTTCTAATTCAAGGTCGAACTGTGCCACTATGACAAGAAACATTCAAATGGATTTGTGTTTCACAACAGGAGAGAATACATCATTGAAGTCTACACCTTCTTTCTGAGTGAAACCCCTAGCGACCAATCTTGCCTTGTTTCTTCATGCCTCTCAAGACTTCCTTCGACCCCTTCATGACTCTTATGATATTTTTCTCTCCTTGAAAAACATATCCCTTCTTGTCGAATTCACCCAGAGAAAAAAATTCTCTTCGAATCAGATACATACCTGACTTCAGTCAATAGCCTTATTAACTCATCATGGTGCTTGAATCTCACAGATCTAATACCTGCAATTTTGCAAGCTTTGTTGTTTCCCAACAGCACTGATCCACCATCTTGATCACACAATTCCTCAAACACGTCTTTTTTTGGAGTCATGTGGCAAGTGCAACCCAAATCCATAATCCACTCATTTCTTAAGTCGTTGCTTGAAACCACAAGGACATCAGATGAGTCGAAGTCATCTTGAACAATGGTTGCGTTGCCATTATCCTTACCTCTATGATCTTTCAGGCGTTCAGTGCACACCTTTCTTGTGCGACCCTCCTTCTTACAGTGATATCATCGAATACCAGATGCCTCGCCATTATAAGACTTCTGCTGACTTTTACCTTTCTTCTTATCGAGCTTACCATCCTTTCACAAGAATTTTTCCCTAACAGCCAAACATTCACCAACCGTCGAAGGTTTAGGCTCATTCCGCTCATTCAAGTCCTTATAATACAAGGATGAGTGAACTTCTTCAAAGTTCAGGGACTCTCTTCCATACATGAGAGTTTCTTTGAAGTGATCGTGTGTTCTGGGCAAAGCGCACAAGAGCAGCATGGCTTAATCTTCATCATCGATCTTCACATCAATATTTTCAAGATCAAGAATCAGCTTGTTGAACATATTCAACTGCACAGGCAACACCTTGTCTTCACTCATCTTGAATGAATACAAAGTTTGCTTCAGGTAGAGTCGATTCACCAAAGATTTGGTCATGTACAAACTTTCAAGTTTCAACCATAACCCCGATGTCATAGTCTCATTTGATACCTGTCAAAGAACCTTATCGCCAAGGCTTAACAATATTGAGATGTGGGCTTTCTCTATCATGACCGTCTTTTCTTTTTCTGTTAACGTAACGTCCATGACTGCCTCTCCCTTCAACGCTTCCAAACAACCCTGCTGAACAAGTAGGGCTTTCATCTTCAAGCGCCACAGAATGAAATTCATTCCGGTGAACTTTTCAATCTCATACTTTGTTGAAGGCATCTTCCTCCACGCTCACCGAACCAATTTATTGTGAAAAACAATATTTTGAAATAAAATATATTCGGTTTCTTTATGATCAAGAAACACACAAGGGTCAAGGTTAAAGGAAAAACAAGAAGAAGAACAAAGATTGGTTATAACTGTTATTCTTTACTTTCTCTTTGAATCAGATTACAAGTACTCAAGAATAACAAATAACCCTCTCACCCTAATTAGAATTTGTCACACTTAAGATGAAAGACTAGTATGCTATTTATAATAAGAACTTAACATACTAAAATAATGGACTTTTTAACAATTATCAATTACAAGCTAACTTAGGGTACAAGCTAACTTAAACAATTAGATTCTTAACATAAGACTCAATTTGACAACTACATATTAGAACATATTTTGACTACAACATGTAGGTTTTTGACAACAGCATGTGAGCAGACTTCGACGACATGCTAAATCTCTGTCAACAATACTAAAATTTGATCCAATATCTCACAGTATTTATAATAAATATATATATATATATATATATATATATATATATATATATATATATATATATATATATATATATATATATATATATATATATATATATATATATATATATATATATATATATATATATATATATATATATATATATATATATATATATATATATATATATATATATATATATATATATATATATATATATATATATATATATATATATTTAACTTAGGTATATTTGTTTCATTACAATAAAATATTTATATTTAATTTAAAGATATTTTCATTGAACATGACCATGTTCAGTAGTTTTCTCCATCAAGAACAGCTGCCACCAATAAAGTTCATGTGTTATTATTCTAAGAATCAATGTAAAATTGTCTCCCATATATAAGTGCATCCTTGAATCACGCCTATATATTACTCTCATTCTCATTTGCACAATTCCACTTCTCTCAAATAATGTGTTAATTGTTGAAATGCTAACTTTGTAGTACACGTAACTTTCTAATCACCCAAGACATTCACCATTATGCTCGAAGCTCTTCTATGGTGGTTATATTTAACCTACATCCATTCTATATTCCACTATAGAATATAATTCAATGGAGAGAGTTGTAATGTGATGCAGTCCGTAAGTACACGACTGTAGTATCTTAATTTTTTTTTTGCCAGATAAACTTTGATTTCATAATTACCATCAGTTTTTCACACTATATTTTTCCTTAATCTTAATATCTTTTTATAACAACCAAAAATAATTTATTTAAAATCAATTAACCTACAAACATTTTCTACCATAAACTATGTAGTATTGAATTCTCCATTGCATCAAAAGACATGTAGGAGCAAGAGACCACTCTTGTCCAGCACAATAACACAAGCTTATTTAAATATATTTATTGTAGTTTCTAACTAACCTAACTGCCATATACCTAGTTTAGTTGGTATCTACTTCCTCATTCACTCTATAAATTCATGATTCATAACAACCATTGAGGCCAAAGCTATGGAACTAAGATGAAGAAGCACCTTTATGTGTGTGTAATGCTACTAAAGAAGCATAGTCACCACCCTTATGTAGCAATGCTTCATGTTTTCCTTTCTCTGCTATCACACCATTCTTAACTACTGCTATTATATCTGCACCCTTAATAGTCGATAACCTATGAGCAACTATTATTGTCGTCCGCTCCACCATAACGCGGTCAAGTGCATCTTGAACCACCTTCTCAGACTCAGCATCCAGTGCACTAGTTGCTTCATCTAGTAATAGTATTTTTGGATTCTTCGCCATAGCTCTTGCTATTGCCACTCGCTGCTTCTGTCCACCGGATAACTGAATTCCTCTCTCGCCTACTATCGTGTCGTAACCCTGCATAAATATATATAGTATCATGTTCAAGAACATCAACTGTATAGAATTTTAAAAATACTGGATTGAAAAGATATCATGCAATTTACCTTCTGCAAACTACTAATGAACTGGTGAGCATTTGCCAATTCTGCAGCAGCTACAATTTCTGCTTCCGTTGCGTCTCCTTCTTTTCCGTATGCAATATTGGCTCGAACTGTATCATTGAAAAGAACAGGCTCTTGGCTTACTAGTCCCATTTGTTGTCTTAGCCATTTCACTTGCATCCTTTGAATTTCTATTCCATCAAGTGTAATGTGACCTGAGTCGGGGTCGTAAAACCTTTGTAGTAATGAGATCACTGTTGATTTTCCACTTCCACTTTCTCCAACAAGTGCAACTGTCTGTTTTTTATATCAACAAGATCAATCTGTTAGTTGTTTTTTCAATTAGGAAAAACAAGTTAGAGTAGTCTAGTTGATAAGATGTGAAATTAGAATGCTACCTTGCCGCTATGAATGTTCAAGCAAAAATCTGTGAATATTTGAACATCAGGTCTAGTAGGATACTTGAATTTGACATGGTTAAACTCAATTTCTCCCTTGACATTTTCCATTGTCATTCCAGATTCATCACTAGGGTCTATTTGTGACTTCTGGTCAAGAATAGCAAATATGGAAGCAACTGCGCTTTTTGCATTAGATGAATCAGGGGCCAAGGTCCCAGATTGTGAGACTCCCATAGCTGCCATGCTGAGAGCAAAAAAGACCTACAAACCAGAAAACAAAAACATCAATGCTACAAAATAATTGTGAAAGTGATAGAATGGCGAACATGTAAGGAGTATGCATTTCTTACTAGGAAAACATCTGAGAATGTAGATTTTCCATCCTCTACAAGTCGAGCTCCAGCGTAAAAACAGCATGCATAAACTGCATACAGCATGAAGAATGATAAACCAAAACCAATTCCACTTATTATCCCTCGCCGTATTCCTTTCTTAATTGGTCCGTCACATTTTTGCTTATATAATTCCATCACTTTCTCTTCGGCACAGAAAGAAGCAACTGTTCTTATACTCCCTACAGCATCATTTGCCACTTGGCTTGCTTCCTCATACAATTTCTGTTCATTGAAAACAATATCAGTATTCACAATATAAATATATTGGTTGATAGAAGTAACTAACAAACCTTTGCATCTGCGCTGAATCCCTTCAAGACCTTTATTTGCACATATCCATTTAGTCCTAATAGAGGCGCCAAAGCGAGGACGACGAGAGCGAGCTGCCAGCTCGCGCCAAAAGCAATAACCAAGCCAGCTATTGCTGTAGCAATATTTTGAACCAGCAAACCAAGTGCATCCCCAACAAGAGCTCTAACTGATGCTGCATCAGTAGAGAGCCTTGCTCCAAGTGCTCCACTTGAATGATCTGTCTCATCAAACCAACTTACTTCCATGTGAACAACTTTCTCAAAACATGTTTTCCGGATCCTTTGGATCAACTTACCTCCAGCAACACCAAAAAAGTAGAATCTACATGGAATAACGAGTAATGATGCCACGGCAACTGCTACAAACACTATTGCCCAAACTTTTGAATCATGACGAAGTTCATCAGCTGGCTTGTAGAAAATACTAATCATTTTAGAAAGTAAGAGCCCAAAAACAGGCATTATAACTCCATGTAGCACTGCAGCTATAGTTCCCATCAATAAGACTGAAATCTCGGGTTTGTTGAAATATGCTAGGCGATAAAGTGGCACTTCAGGGGGTGAAGATTTTTTTGAAGGAGAAGCTTGACGTCCACCATCCGCAGTTTCTAAGAAGCCATCTGATGCAGGTGCAACATATGCTCCTGAGAAAGAATGACGATTGCTGTTTCCAGGCGACCCTTGGATTATTGATCTTAAGGAAATAGAACTTTGACTTGATATTCTTCCAGAATGCACAATACTGTTCGACTTGTTTGTGTCATTTGCATCATTTTGAATATGTTCTGATCCCTTCATTTCTTGCAGCCTAATAAGCTGGCTATAGGCTCCATTAGGATCTTTGGTGAGCTCAACATGTGAACCTAACCAATTGAAAATTTTAAGAATGCTATAAAGGATTAACATACGGGCTTCATGCGTTATATGAATTTTGAGTCATGGAAAAATTAGATTGCTGTCACGAAATAGTATCTACCTCTTTCAACAATTTTTCCTTGATGAATTACAGCAATCGTATCGACATTCTTTATGGTGCTTAAGCGGTGAGCTACAATGATAGTTGTCCGGTTTATCATTATCCGGTCCAACGCCTCTTGTACAATTCTCTCAGATTCTGCATCAAGGGCACTTGTAGCTTCATCAAGAAGTAATATTCTTGGATCTTTCAAAATTGCTCTTGCAATTGCAACTCTTTGCTTTTGACCTCCTGAGAGCTGAGTTCCATGCTCACCAACCATTGTGTCTAGCCCCTGAGATCAAAAACCATAATTTTACAAAATTATCAAGGTAGAAGGATCGGTCAATAAATTTCCTCTTTATTGTTGTACACAACGCAAATAGAGAATTCAGCCAAGTGAAGGAAGATTTGAGAGTTCACCTGAGGAAGTTTATCTATAAATTTGGCAGCATTAGCAAGCTCTGCTACAGCTCTGATTTCTTCATCAGTTGCATCATCTTTAGCATAGGCAATATTCTCTTTAATGCTACAAGTGAAGAGAACCGGTTCCTGGCTAACTAGGCCTATTTTCTGTCTGATCCATTTTAGTTGAAATTCTTTGAGGTTTACACCATCAATACGAATTTCACCACCTTGTGGATCATAAAATCTCTCTATCAAACTAACAACTGTGGATTTCCCACTCCCACTTTGCCCTACCAAAGCTACAGTAGTTCCACTTGGTATTGCAAGAGAAAATCCATTGAATATCAGTTCATCTGGTCTGGTAGGATAACTAAAACAAACCTCCCTGAGTTCTATATCTCCACGAACTTCATCAAGCTTTCTCCCAGTAGTGTCGTAAGCATCAATTTCCGGATTCCTTTTAATCGTTTCAAACATCTTAAAGGCTGCAGCTTGTCCTGCAGCAAAAGCACTTAAGCTTGGAGACGTCTGCCCAAGACACCTGAAGTTAGAAACATAAATATAGTTAGGAGAGAAACAAAAATGTTCATATCTTATGAATTCTTAATGGCGAAACAAATATGAAATCTCACATTGAACCAGTTAATACAGCAAAAATTACAGTCATAACATCTCCTCCTGTATACCCTTTCTCGATTATCAATTTCCCACCAAACCATACAGCCAAAGCATAACTGCTGATAAAAACAAAAAAGAGTGCTCCGAACCCCACACCAGATGCTAGTGCTTCTTGCACCGAAGAATTGTAGACCTTGATTAAGGACTGGTTATATTTAGCTATTGCTTGTTTCTCCCCGGTGAATGAAGCAACCTGCATTCGAAAAATGGGAGACATATATAATCTATAATAACAAAATTTCAATGTTATTTTTCATTCGTGTACGCTTACAGTTCGGATGGAACCTATTGTCTGCTCTACTACACCTGCTGATTTAGAATAAGCTGCTTGTCCAGTCGACGATGCTTTTGCAATTATCGTACCTGTCATAGCACCAGACAAGACAAGAAGTGGTATACTAGATAGCATAACAACAGTAAGAAGCCATCCTTTAGTGAATGCTATGACAAAACCTCCTATGAAAGTTGACACAAACTGTATGAACTGTCCCACCTGAAATTTTAAACATTTTTTAAGGTAGTCGAGAAAAACAAAATGACAGTGATTTAAGATAGTGTGATGATTCAGTGATACCTTTTCCCCCATGGCATCTTTAATAAGAACAGTATCACCTGACATTCTTCCAACAACCTCTCCAGTATTAGTCTCTTTATCGAAGAAGCTCACATCTTGCCTCAAAATTGTTTTAAGGTATAAGCCTCTAATTCTTGCAGCCTGTCTCTCCCCAGTGATCATCCAGCAAGTCAATTCTAGTACACATCAAAAAGGGTTTATTTGGCATCATAATACATCGGAGTAATACGTTAAATTGTAAGAACTAACGTACTTACGCAAAAATGATGCAACAAAGGTGCCTGCTCCCAAGTATACAAACTTCAGAGACACCTGATCAGTGATCACAGTAAGTCATCGTTAGTCGGCTTTTAAATGTTTGTTTCAAAGTTGCAGTATGCCATGAAAGGTATACCAGACGAAACAAGCTTCACCGATCACACGAGATTTTTGAGAAAAATACCTTGGAGACTTCATCAACAACTTTTGAGCTTGTGGAATCTCCAAATGCATTGATCAAATTTCCAAATATTAAAATCATCAAGGGTATAGAGATTCCATTCCCAATAGCACCGATAGTCCCCGCAAACATCAATAAACGATCCAAAGGATCCGCAAATGAGAAAAGCTTGTACAAGGGTACTGTGTTGGTTGTTTCATCTTTTTCCTTGCTCTTCTCTGAATCTTTCTTGCTGTCATGATCTTCAACCGGTTGAATACTCGCAATATCTCCTTCCAAAACGATATCTGTTGCCATTTTCTTCGACGAAGACTTGTTTAGCTAACAAACACCTCTGCCAGTGGCTTTAAGTTCAAAACAGCTGCAGAAAAAGCATTCCAAATTCAAGTTTGTCAAAATTTCAACACAAGATAAAATGGAAACAAGTAAAACAAAAACTTTATGAAACAGCGGAAAGAATCAGAGTCAAGTTCAAAGAAGTTAGAAAACTAGCCGTGGCTAACAACAGAGAACTGAATTGTCAGTTAGAAAGTGAAACTTAGTTGTTTGCTTCTGTAACAGGTTGGTGTATGCAAGATTTCTAGTTCTTACTAATATATAGTTCAAATTATTTTGTATTGGTCAAATAATTCTAATAGATTTATTGGAAAGTATGCCTACACGTTTCTTGAGCTGCAAGTTTAGTATATTGTCATCCAGATTGTTTTTTGGTTTTCAATTTAGATGTCTATTCCAAATGAATAAATTTATGTTGTGTTTGAAAGTTTGATTATATAATATAAAAGAGGGAATGACATCCTAACTATCCCTGTTGTTAATATTAAGAGAATGAAATCACTGGGATAGTTGACAGTCAAACTCTTTTTCCCCTTAATTGCGGTATCTTCCAAATTCAGAAACACTGATTATCAAAAAAATATGGTTCACTGCGAACTATATATATATATATATATATATATATATATATATATATATATATATATATATATATATATATATATATATATATATATATATATATATATATATATATATATATATATATATATATATATATATATATATATATATATATATATATATATATATATATATATATATATATATATATATATATATATATATATATATATATATATATATATATATATATATTAACAATGTAACCATAATTATTAAACATAAATTAATGGATTTATTACATTCGAACTCCGTTAATAAAGATGGATTGTGTTGGTTGTCTTTTCTATTTATTTTTCTTTAATATTCTATATTGACTCTATTTATTTTTCTTTAATATTCTATATTGACTGTTATTCTAACAATTTATATGAGATGGCGATAAACCATGGGGCAAAATTCGAGGTGACAATGGAATGAATAAATTAGAATTATGACAAACGAGAGTTAAGAATATGTTGCCTCAGTAAAGTTTACATGGCATTTTATGAGACGAAACCAACCAGCATGGAAGATACTGATTGGGCAGAGATAAAGGGAAAGGCCTCGAGATATATCCGTGAATGTTTTTCAGACGAGGTGATTTATTATATCCTAGACTTAACGATGACGAAGGAGGTTTGAGACAAATTGAAGAGTCAGTATATGAAATTCTGGTATACAGATCTCAGATGTCCTAAGAGATGCTAAGAACATTGATCCCTACTAAAACAGAACAAGGACAAAACAATGACCATTTTAAATCCCTTTAAAAATTAACAGTGTCATGACTTCTGTTGTAACATCTGCAGACTAACATAACTATTTATCTAACCATTTAAATTGTGCAGAATTGTAAATGCTGAAAGATAAATAACACAATGAACTGTTAACCCAGTTCGGTGCAACATCACCTACATCTGGGGGCTACAAAGCCAGGAAAAAAATCCACTATTAGCATAATTAATTCAAAGATAAACTCCTAGTTTACAACTCCTCGCTTAATCTCTACCCAATGTAATTTCTGCCTAGAACCCACTAGACAAGACACACCTCTCACTCCCCACAATCACAACAGTGATAACAATTCAATACAAAACGAAAGACTTTAGAAGACACTCTTCAAAGTCACAATACTTGATTTTGCTTAACAGCTTCAATCAAGAACAATACACTCTTGCTTAAAAGCTTTGAGTGAATAATTAACAATTAACAAATAACAGCCTAAATATGTCTACCACGATGCATCCAAAGATACAAAGGGTGACTTACAAAGTCACACACACAAGACTCTCAAAACCCTAAACCCTTATTTTACACTCAAGTTTTTCTTGTTGTGAGTGCTTAATTTTTCTTGCTTCTGCGCCTCTTTAAATAGTAATGCAGTCTGGGCTTGGGTTGTGCAAAAGTAACATAAATTAAGTTTAACCAAGTTAATCCAATCTCCACAATTCAAGGTGCTAAAAAATAGGCCATAGGCGTTTCCTCTCATGATCAGCACTGAATAGAAAGTTTCCTAAAATATAGCCTGAGATAAATAAGGAAACATAACAGAAAATAAAACAGCGCCCATGCTGGAAGATACCGATGTCACAACATTCAGCTTGACATCCAATAAACTATGTATTAGCTAACCAAACATACCCTGTAGAACACTACACACGTATGTCATGACATCGGTCAAGACATCTACACACATAACAATGTTTTACCTCAAAATGCAGCCAATCAAGAACATCTACAAACTCCAAATCTTCTGCAGAATCTTATTCATAACAGTATAAACAAATATATTATAGTTTCTTAAAAAGTCTCAAAGATCTTTTTTATGAACACCAGTTAAATCTGCATTTTGTTCCAAATAAATCTCCTTGACCTGCACACACTGATGGGGTATATCCAATAGGATCTCATCAAACCAAACCACCTCTATCAAGAGATGTAAAGTAGCAGCTTCTGCTGTACCAGACAAAGATATCACGACATCTGTTTCGACATTTTGATAATAACACATGACAACAGTATTGTCGAAGATGTTATAACATCTTGCTTAACATCAATGCAGAATCATGTTTTACCAAAATTTAGCCAATCATAGAATCATGGACAATCATAAAATCATGGAACTAACAATCTCCCCCTTTGGCAAATTTTGACTAAAACAACCAAACAAACTTATCAGGGCAGCAACAACAGTAGTTTTCTAAATTACATCCAGCCTCACAAACTATCATGCTCCCCCTTAATAGTTGCATCCAGCAAGCAATAACAACACACTACTCTTTCCTTAGCAGTAGCAAAGTCTTATTACAATGTTGCATAACCTCAGGACAACAGATGTAACCTCAGGACAACAGATAACATTAACACTTTTACCCCCCCCCCCCTTTGTTTAGCCAAAAATTGGAGTAAATGTATACACATAACCTCATAACACATCAATCAGAGCCAACCCAAAAACTGAATCATAATCACCATACTTTAAAGTAAGACTTAGCTGATAACCTGCACATGGTGTCCAAATCTCCAGACTGCCATCTCACAACCTCCCATGAGATACACAAGCTGCTTAAAAACTGCACCACTACAACAACAATCCATGAAAATGGACTTAAATCCCCCTGTTGAACTCACTCAAACACTGTAAAATCAATCCTGATTCGTATAGATCCAGATACCACAGCTCCTTGAAAATACATCCTCCACATTGTATTCCAGCATGATTAGATCAAGCATCACAATCCTAAATCCAGCCCATCATGTGTGACATCAATTCCTTCACCACTCACTTTGGTTCTTAAGACACCAACCACATAACTTATTATTTCCATAGTAGTCTATATACTTCACTAAGATACACATGAAGGTCTCTGAAGGACACAACAACAGTAGCTTAACAGATCATCACAAGTACCAGAAAATCATAGAGAGAAATAAACTCTCATGTAGCTTCCTCAGAGACATAATGTTCAGACCTCCTGTCTGATATTACAAAAAAAATTCTTAGGCACCTTTAAGAAATAATTCCTTCATCAAACACACAAACTACAAGCACCAAGTCATGGACTACTTCCCCTTTTACCCTTTTCCACAGATCCATAAAAAACTGATTCTTCACCAAGACCATCATACACCATGCTTTATCATGATGATAAATAACCTCCACAGTAACACTACGAACATAGCCATTGAATCCTGAGTTCTTGCCTTGTCTGAAGCTGCACCTTCAGGAGTGACACTTTTGACATCACCAATTAAAGGATAATCAATTAAATACTTGCCAAGTAACAATTGATTTTAAATCCTTAATTTGAGACACACAAATATTCTGCAGAGAAAAATAAATTCTCCCAGACAATAACCAATGTTGCTTCTTAGGTCATTCAAAAGGAGTAAGCACAGACCTAGTTCAAACTAACAGTCTCACAAAGCTAGACCCATAGTCACCTTGTCAAGGTAAAAGGCTACACCAGACAGCACAATGTCAAGATATCTTGTCTGACATTACAACCTCATCAGTGGTTCAAGAACACAAGCTTGTCTGAGAATCGACAAACTTTGTACACAGCTTCATATCATCACAATGTCAACACAAGTAATGTAGCTACACATCATCCAGGTACACAGCTCCTCCTTTCATGCATAATCAGCACTCCCCTAAAAGAGAGAATCCAAGCACATGAAGAATCATACTCACACACTGGTAGCACATGCAACTTTACACCCCTTGATTCACAAACCACACTAGAATAAATAGCAGAAGTAGCTGCAGGATAGACATAACTATCTGATGGATTACTCATATTCAGCTTTGAAGAACTAGAAAAATCTCCAGGATGTCAGGGTGAATATCCTTCTATATGCACAAAATCAAATATGATGATGTCTTGATCTTCATCTTCACTTAGTCATACAACTACAAGACAAAACACTTGGAGAGAGACCCAAAAACTTGATTTGATCCATTGATACAATCACAAACTTCTAGAAACCATAAACAATCTTGAAAAATAACTGTATTATTGCAGCAATAGATCCTAGATAGAAGTATAACTCTCCATAGTTCTCTTTTTCGTGAATGGAAAACATGAGACTCATCTTCATGTCTTCAAGAGCTCACTCCTTGTTCAGTACACCTACTGAACGCATTCACTCACTGTTTGAACCACAGGCAACTAGTACACCCATCAGACAGAAGCTTTCCCCCTCTCTTTTATAAAAGATGCTCCAAGATTACCACAGTATCTCAAAACCAACCTCATGCTCATACAGTGAGAAGGTACCAAACTGCTCCACTTCTTACTAGAGTTACCACTTCTCCACAAGACTTCTGGCCTAAGTCAGAAAACAAGATAGAC